GCGTTCAGTTGATTTTTTCTTCTTTTTTTTGCCGAATATTTGGTTTTTGACCAAATCACAATTCATTACCACATTCGACCAAATCATATTCGTTGCGGAAATAAAAACGAAGGAAAAATAACTAGGATTTACGATAAAACTGTACCGAAATACCGTATCAAAAAGTGATTATTTAATTGCGCGATTAACAATCACGTGTCGTAATAACATCATAGTTAAATAACGGGATCGTCAAAATCATGTGGAAAAGCATAGAAATAATTGGAAAAAAATATATTTATGCTGAACACGAATAAAGCGTGTGAAATGCATGATTTAAAATTTGCATGTCGTAATAGAATAATTGGAATTTTTCATAATACGTGGGAACGCATAGCAATAACTGCCAAAAAAAATTGTTGAAAAAAAAGAATTGCAAAAAAAAAAGATAAAAAATCACTTAGATTTAAGATGAAATCGTCACAAATAAAGTGCACAAAAAGTGATTATTTAAATTTGCGATCTGAAACTCGCATCGTAATAAAAATTCGGGATTTTCGCAATCACGTAGAAAAGCGGAAATAACTGTTTAAAAAAAATCCTTTATATTTACTATAAAATCGGCTTAAATAAAGCGCGTTAAACGTACGTTTACTAAAGAATCTGTTAAATTGATTCTGTCAAAACGTGATTACTTAAAAGTGCGATTAAAAATTGCCATTTTTTAAATTTTTTTTTTGTGTTTAGAAGCTCTCGCGTTTAGAAGCTCAGCAGTCGAAGGGCCGCATTTCGTTTTTTTTTAATTAAATAGAAGTGATTTTTTTAAAAAAGGAAGAAAATTGTTTTGTTATTGTTTTTGTATTTGTTTGTAAACATACAAAAAATAATATGGCTAACATTTAGAATTGGCAATTTAATGATAATTCCTTTAAAACCAAATCACCAAAGTATGATTTTGTGGTACAGGGTCAGATATCACTGCTTGATGAACATTGCCAATGCCAATGTGAGGGTTGCCCAGAGGGTACAGTGCTTTGTCCAAATGGGGGAGAATGCATCAAAGAAGAACAATGGTGTGATGGAATCATCGATTGCTTGGATGATGAAAGAGACTGTCCAACAAGTAAGTCAGCGCTTTCAATTTGTTATAATTTGAGTTTGCTTATGAGATGATGATTCTCGAGCTTACTTACTAAGAAATGATGAGTCTCACGATTATTTCCTGGAAGAAAGAGAATACTGTCCATGAAGTCAAAGAGAAATCCTGATTAACTTTTGATCTAATAATCGGAATTTCACACTGTAAGATTGTGACACATTTTACACAAGTATGAAAGGAAATATACAGGTGTGAGTTTGCAAGTTGTTTATAATAATTAACTAATAATATTATTAAAGGTAATGAGGATTTCAGGAAAAAAACAGAAATTGGAATAGACAGAATTGAACAGAAAATAAATCTTTAAATTCCATAATATAAGTATTACGTAACATAACATGAGTAATTTAAATGAGTATCAAAGAAAATATACAGGTGTGACATGGAAAGAGTTTGCAAGTTATTTATTAAAAGTAATAAGGATTACAGGAAATTAACAGAAATTGAAATAGACAGAAAATAAATCTTTAAATTCCATAACATAAGTATTACATAACATAACATAAGTAATTTAAATGAGTATCAAAGAATAGATACAGGTGTGATACGTAAAGAGTTTGCAAGTTATTTATTAAAGGTAATAAAGATTGCAGGAAATAAACAGAAATTGGAATAGACAGAATTGGACAGAAAACAAATCTTTAAATTCAAATTAATATTGTATATAAGCATTTTTTCTGCAAAAATATATGTAGAACTTTAAAAAACCAGATTTCAATCTTTTGACAAATGTATTAATTTTTTTTGAAAAACAATTCTTATTTTTGTTTGCTATTTATGTAGTTTTTCTTAGTTCTTTCTTACTTTTTAGCCGCAATTCCTACAACTTCTACGACATTGGCCCCAACCACCACAGAATCACCAATTATCTGTTCTACTGACGGTTTGTCTGGTGAGTTTTTATTTTCATTGTATTGTTCATTGAGAGATATGTCTCTAAATTTATAAGTAATTTAAATTTTCTTCAAATTTCTGTTTGCCTGCTATTGTTTACTTTTTAACATTTCTAAATTTTACAGATACAGATTCTTGCGAAATGTTTGCCAACTTGTTTGATACTTTTGATGGCTTGACCTACCAGTATGAGATATGTGACCATGTCTTGATGCGGGAAAGTAATGCTCATCTTTATGGAGTTACAGGTAAAATTAATACAAGGCTATATTATTATATTATAACCGTCAATGAACAACCGACCGAGTCTTATGGGTTTACGACTGCTAATGTTCAACTCCATAGCTTTGTAATTTTGAACCCAATTCAGAAGACTCCTGGATCGAGTATTGGGAGAAATTTGCCTTCGTGGAGGACTATTTGATGGCACTAACCCGCATTTGCGTTACATGGAGAGGAAGACCACGAGAACTTCCCACGGTTACCCTGACGGCAAGGAGACTTTTTATTGCATAGTAAGATCAAGGGAAATAATCATTNACTGTGGTCGGTGCAAGCTGAATGCGGAGTTCGTATCGACTGGGATTCGAACCCGGTTCACCTCATTGGAAGGCAAACGCTCTATCCCCTGAGCCATCATGGCTCAATACAAGGCTATAATCACAATGATATGCCTTAATTTCTTTTCTATAAATACAAGGTTTTTTAATAAATTCTGCTTTTTATTTATGAGGTTTTTATTAACGCACTTCATATTTGAGATTTGCAATTCAAATTAGCATTAACTAGAGCAGCGGCTCTCACGTGGTATTCCGCAAAACCTTAAGGTTCCATAAAAGGATCATAGGGGTTCCGACTGTAAGGACATTTTTTTGAGAAGCAGTGATTTTTTAAACATTTAATTGCATTCTTTTTATTCAATTAATAATCCATAACTTAGTTAATATTTCAGTTATTTTTCTGAAATTAAGTTAAATGGCAATGTAAAAAAAAAGGAAAAATTTATCAATAAAAAAAAAGTTACTTTATGTCCGTTTCTATAAAAAAAATGCATCTACAATCAATCTTCTCAATTGATGCAGATTTCAAAACTAATTGTGTCGAATTTTTCAGTTCACAAGACTTGTTCACCTGAGGGTTTCTGCCAAAAGTACCTTGTTATAGATGTTGATGAGATGACTTTAAAACTGGGACCAGGAGTGAATGACGTAACAGTGCACGACCAAAAAATTCCTGTCAGCAACCTGTGGCTAGTGTCACAAAGGTTTCAGCAAGACTTCTCTCTTGAGAAAAAAGGAAATTCTCTGATTTTCATTTCTAAGAAGTATCATTTTAGTGTCACATGGGATTCTTCTCAGAATGCAAAAATCACTGTAAGTTGGATCTTTCCCTCTATCCTCAATATTTCTCATTTCTCATGTTATTACATATATTTATGCAATGCTCATGAATTTATCTGTGAATTATTTATAAATTTTTAACAAAATATTGAAGTGAAAATAGGTGGAATAGGATTTTTCTGGCTTAAGCACACTCGTAAAAATTTTTGTATCTGAATTTCGGTAATTGCAGTGTTCCTTCCTCGTGGTCAGTTGGCAACCAAAGTATCACTTCGTGCCTCCGTAGTGTGGGAACACTTTGGAAACTTCTTTTCAACATGGTGTAAAATTGCCGACTTATCACCGAATTGTAACTCATCACTTTTGTGTAGTTTATGAATATACATTGAATATTTTTTCATTCAACATTTTTACTACATGTGTAGCGTATGTTTTAATGATGTGTGATAAGATGCAGAACTTTATTCTATCCGGCCTACATTATGCCACATAGTTATAGAGAATACTGTATTCACTTAGTGAAATCAGATATTTCTTTTCTGTTTCTAGATGCTGGAGATCTTGACTGCTTGTATAACTTTTTGAGTGTCTGATTTTATTATTTAATTTTTACAAACTCCGTAACAATTTTCAAAGGAACATTTCTCTGTCTCTCTCTTGCATTTTATAAACATTTTATGTCTTTTTAAGGTTTCTAAATGCTTAGCTTATCAAGTGTTGGGCTTATGTGGTTTTTATAACCATGATCCTTCTGATGATCTGATGCTTCCTATCAGAAAGTTGGCAATCAGCAACGAAGACTTTGGAAACAGTTGGGGCATTGGTCCCCCTGACAGATGCACCCCACCTTCCTGCCCCCTTCCATTCATGAAGACTGCAATTACATTTTGTAACCTTTTAAGGTAAGTTCTGACGACTCGAACAAAATTTCGGGCTTATTTTTAATGGCTTCCTGTTAAATACAAAAATCTACGTTTTCAAAAAAAATTTTCTTTCTTTTTCTTTTGTTTCATTTTAATTTTTTTTGGTAGGAGAAAAAGTGTGACCATAATAGAATAGGGAAAAATCAGGGATTTCTATCAATCTGGAAATTTCACTGAATTATCACAAATGTCAAAGAAATTGAATCGATTTAAGTTCTAAAAGTTTGATATTTTAATTTTATAACCGTCGTTGAACAGTCAACCCAATTTTTTTGGCTTTACGACTACTAATGTTAAACTCCGTAGCCTTGTAATGTTGAACCTAATTCAAAAGACAAGGGAACTTCTAGATAACGTATTAGGAGAAATTTTACCTTCATCGAGGACTTTTTGATGGAACTAACCAGTTATTTACGTTACATGGAGAGGAAAACCTCCCACACTTAGCCCGACAGCAAGGGGACTCTAACCCATCTACCACTGAGGATATTTTTACGTCAGCACTGCAGTCAGTGCATGTCGGATGCAGAATTCGTAACATTTGTGGAAAACCCCTTATCATTTAGAGTTTCATTTGAAAAATGCGAAAACTACTTAGGAAATTGTTAGAAACTTTTTAAATTTTAAAATATTCAAATCAGACTTTTTTCAATAATTGCCAAATACAATTCACTTCAAAATAAATTTTTTCCGCACATTCGCAATATAAAAATTAATTATGTATATATTGCACAGTTTTCGACAAATTTTAAAGCAAAAATTTTGTTATTTTAAACCGCCCTAAAAAATTTTTTTCATTTTATTGAGTATTTTTAATGTTATAACAAAAAAGCATAAGACAAAAAAATTAAGTTTTTTATAAAAATATTCATATCTCTATAAATAATTAAGCTAGACTAACGAAACTTTGTGCATTTTTTGTCATAGGGTGTTTAAAAATGCTATTTTTTGGTTGTAATTTTTTGTTGATCCCTCAAACCTCTAAAACGCTTTAAATTTCTTTGGTAAGTATTAGAAATCCCATGATCTTAACACTTCTGAAGTTATTAAATTATTCTTGAAATATTTCTTGAGAAATATTTAAAAAAAATATTAGTATATAAGTGTTTCCAATATTTTGTCCACCCCTTGTACTTTTGCATACCAGGGTAGAAAAACTTGAATTGAAAAAAAAAACTGATTTAAAAACAAAACTTTGAATAAATAACCCTAAATAAAATACTTGAGCCTGTAGAGGATTGCAGTTTACAAAAATTGATGTTATTTTCTCTTTCAGTGAGTAAGTTTGAGTATCATTTTATTCTTGTCAGATTGCTCAGAATGAAACAGGTTCTAACGTATATTTTTTCCAAAAAACTGAAAATTTTGTTCGGAAAAATCCTTTTGACCCCTTAGAAATTTGCCACACTTATGAAATATTTTTTTTAATCCAAGTTTTGTATATTTTTGAGATATCTTTAGTGTGATGTAAGAAATATATTGTTAATTTGTTCGAAATAAAATTTTGTCTATTTATCTAGATTATCAGCTAAAAATTTCGAATTTTAGATGGTTATGAACATTTGCTGTTTCATAACAGAATCTGTTTCTGTAAAATGTTGGTTACTTTTGCATATTAAAAGAAATGGCATATTTGTTTTCTTTTTTTGCATATGAAACACTTGAGTCATTAGAATTTCTTTCAAACACTTTATTGTATTTGTTTTTGTCTTAATATTTGTCATTTTCACAGGGAAGAGCCATTTAATTCTTCCTGTTCAGACTATGTCAAGATTGAGAACCGTATTGAAGCTTGCACTGTATTCATGTGTGACTGCTTGCAAACAACATCTCTGGATGCTAGAAGCAAAGACGTCTTCTACGACATCTATGAGGAGAGCGGTTCCTGCAAATGCCTGGCTTATGAAAGTTTTGTTGAAGCCTGTGAAACATCAAAACAGGAACCAGTGCGTGATTGGAGACTCAAATTCGGATGCAGTAAATTTTCTTTTTCATTATCTATTTTACCTATATTGTATGAACATTTTTTATCTTGATTTGACGGTTTTTTTTTCTTTTTTAATTACTGTACATCTTTGTAAAACTACTTTTCTAACCTCCACAATTTTAAGAAAATCAGGAGGTCGACAACGTAACAGAAACACTCCCTCAAAAACTATTTTTAATATATCATATACAATTAATTTTGCATTCTCTCTCTTTACAAAATTTTTTTTTGGAACAGTCCTTTAAATTACGTTCTGTAAAAATTTAAGAATGCGAAAAAATAGGATATTTTATTCAAGAGTATTTTAAAAAATGAACAAATGAATGAGTGGTGACAATACAATAAAAAGGATAGTGCTTTTTAGACCCACTAGAACAAGAACGTAGGACGGCCGTTGCTGAGATGAGCTGACTCGGTGGAGTCTGATTTTCTTGCAATTAATGAAAAGAATTGGAGATCAAAGATAAATCGGAAGTCGTTGGGGGGAAGACATTGGCCCTCATTGGGTTGTCTGGCCAACTATGATGATGATGATTTTTAAAAAAAATGTAATGCAATGAAAACTTTAAAATTCTGTAAATCTACAAATTTAAAGATTCCAGAACAACATCTGTGTCACATTAAATGAAGTTAAATGTCTTCCTATAAATCTCAACCTGTTGCTGCTATTTTCAAATCTTCTTCTTCCAGCATTCTGTTAAATACAGCTAAGCTATTTTCCCTTTATTTTTCTAAAAATTCAAAGAGAGTATCCATCTTACTCTCCAGATAAAGGTTTTCTGCCAATAATCTATTTCTACATAATTTTTTTATTTTTCATGATTCTCAGCCAATATTTTAGGCATCCTGTATGTTGCAAATCTCAATAACGACTGATTCTTAATCTCCGAGATCACATAAAATGTTTAGCCGACAAACGTACATGCCATTAAAAATGCGACCTTGACCTAGGACAGCGAGGAAATGTTGACCACGTTTGCGGAAGATTGCTTCACCCTTTCTTCCCACCAGACTTTGCAAGCAACTGCACTTTTGTTGAATTCAGTTACTGGGATTATTTAATCCCCACCCATTGTTCATTTATGGTATAACATTAATTCTCTACCCTAAACATCAGAAAAACTAATTTTTAGAAAGAAAAATCTTCTAAATTGTGTTGTTGGGAAGTGGACACTTTTTTGATACTCGTTGGCAGGGGCAAACTACAGGGGCGCTTTCTCTAGCCTGGGCATATTATCTGTATTTTACAGTAGGAAAGGGCATGCAGAAAAAAATTCCAGAAACATCGACTACAGTAACTGTTTTTTTAATCTCAAGAGATTTAAGAAAAAATTGCACTTGAAATATTTTTAAAACATATTTTTAAACGTTATATTTAGCTATTTATTTACAAAATAAACGCACATAAAATAAAGCTTTGAGATTATATCAAATAGAATAGCCATAAAACTCATTTTCTCTAGGTCCACATCTGCGTAATATTTCTATTAACTGCATGTTGTCATTGTAACATCTTCAGTAAAGTTTTAAAAGTATTTATGATATAATATTTGGCATGACTTTCAGAGAAATTTCTTATATTTATGGGTTCATTAAAATGTTTTCAGCGCCAGAATGTCCTCCAGGTTTGGAATGGAAGGAATGTGGTGAGGGCTGCCAGCTTACATGTGATAATTACCGTGTCAAAGACGAGATATGCAAAAGTGGTGGTTGCGCGCCTGGATGCTATTGCCCCGATGGAACTGTCCTCCACCACAATCGTTGCGTTGCTCCAAAAATGTGTCAGGATTGTAAGTATCTGTGTCAATTTTGCTTCTCTTCTATAATTGATCCACATGTATGGGATACAGTGGGTTCCAGTCCCCTCTCCCCCCAAATCGAAAGGAAAATTAAGTTTTTTTTCTCCTATTTTATTTTCTAATTTACTAAAAAAATTTCAAAAATTTTATGTTCTGTAAAATTACACTTACTCTAACTTTCTGGGACAGAATCTGGCAAAAAAAAAGGCACGTTTATTCTCAGAAAGTACGTTTTTGTGTCTGATTTTGTTATATCCATTATTATCTGATTTACTTTGATAATTCGAGTAAATATTTTTAGTCTTATGGGTATTGCACTTGGTTTGCAACCTTGGTTTGCACAAAAAATCCTGGTTTGCAAGAAAGCGGCACATTTTTTTGAAAAAGTCAGACTGACTGGCTTTTCTTAAAAAGCTCTGCTTTTTTATTTAAAAAAAATAGGTGCTGCATAGTCATTTGATGTCAGCTCAATTGACTATATCAATGCAGGTCTGTTTTCCTCCAATGCTTTTGTGAACAACACCTAGCATTAAATGAAGACATTTCCACCCATGGATTACTATCAAAACTGAATCCTTGTTGTGTTCCTACCTCCTCTTAAAGTTTGTCCCAATAATCCTCAGACCATTTAAATTTTGTCTAATTTTATATGGGATATCATACCCTAGTTCAACCCTGTTTCAGTTTGTGTACCATCGAAGAGGTATTTAATGATTTGTAAGCATTCATAAAATTTCTAACGATTCTGAAAGTTATGGAGAAACGCTTTTATTTCTTAAAAGATTATGAAATATGAGTTCTAATAAATGTTTCAGCACTCATTAAAAATTTGATCTTTTGGGTGGATCTTTTTTATTTCTTATTAACTTAACCATACTAATCATTTAGTTAAACCAGTTTCTAGAATCTCAAGGTTGTCTGTCCTCTTCCTATGTGTTAAAAATCTGTGTTCCTAAATTTTTTTGCTGTTCGCTCTAAAGTATATACTGTTCTGGTTTTTCTTAATAGGCGTATGTAGAGGTCATGGGGATCCTAATTTTATCACTTTTGATGGTCAGTATTACGCTTTCCAAGGGACTTGCACCTATGTTTTAGTTCAACATCTCAATGATCCTGATCCAAAGCTAAACTTCCGAGTTTTAGTGACAAATGTTGAATGTCCCGAAGAGCCTCACACTTCGTGTGCAGAAGGACTAAGAATTGAGTGGAATGGCCATGTCGTTGAAAAGTTCAAAAACAAACCTGTGAGTAGCTATTTTTAGTTGACATGTAAATTGTTTGCATTTTATAAAGAAATAAAAATTGTTTTACATTCTTTGAAAACTATTATCAAAAATGTGCATTTGTTACATAGCAGAGGTTTTATTGATATCGTTGAAAAATCAATTTTGTCCCCTTCACTACTAATTTATTGAAATTTGTTAACCCTACATTAATAACTTTTCAGGTTTACCTTGATGATATGGAGGCATCTAATGGAGGTGATGACATACACATAACATATGTTCCTGGAAAAAGCACAGTTATTCACATCAAGCACATCAATTTAGCTGTTCGCTATTTCGACCAAATGTATGGTTTCAACATAGAGCTGCCTGCTTTCTACTACTTTAACAAAACAGAAGGATTATGCGGTATGCTTAGTTACTTTCTTAGTTATCTGTTGGAATACACAATCCTTTTGATCTTTCTTGTTGTGTTTATTAGCCAGTATTATGACTGGCTTTTAACTAGCAATTTGGCTAATCTTCCAGACAAAACAGAAGCCAAATGAAAAAAAAAAAAAAATTAAGAAAAATTAATTCTTTTTCTCCCACTCTTAGTTATTAATCTGAAGAAAAAAAAATTGTTCGTTTTTAATGTGTGTGTTTTATATTTGAGAGCTAATTTTTTATGGACCCTGCATTTTGGCGAGTACAATCAGTCTTTTTACCTCCAAATGAGTCATTTTGTTGAGATTTTGTACAATGGCAATCATTGGCAAGCACCCTTGTATTAGATTTTGATTACAACATCTCTTTCGTAACATACTGTTAAGTGGGGATACTTAAAGCCACTTTTTTGTGTTTTTACTTACATATTATTTATTGAAAATTATAATAAATGGACTTTCAACATCTAAATTTGAGTTTTAACCAATTAACAAAGCATAAGAAAGCAAACAGTACAACTTTTTTTTGAAAATATTTCCCCTTTTTTTACTATTTTCAAAATTTTGGTACAAATTTGATTATTTGGACCATTTACTTGTTTTAATTATTCAAATTGAATAGCAATTCTCATGTATACACTGATTTTAAACTGAAACTGTGATGTGTTATGTTCAACCATTTCTTGAAGGTTTGTGCAACTTTGAACAATCTGATGATCTGTACCACAGAGATGGTTTTGTGACAGATGACATTGATGACTTTGCTTATAGTTGGCTGGTGGAACACGAGCACCGTAAAAACTGTGAATTACCTCGGGTACCGGTGCCAGAGCCACCACCCGGCATTTGTAATTTTACAATCAGCCCTTGTGAAATCTTCTTGAATCCAACGATGTATTCCAAGTCCTGTCAAAACGACGTCACTTACAGTCATAAGCCAGAGGCTTCCATGTGCAGATCTAAATTTCAGTATGCTCAACAGTGTTGTGAAAGAGGTGTTTCATTAGTTGAATGGCTCAAACTAAGTGGATGCGGTAAGTTTTTTACTCTGTCTATCTCTCTACACATTAACCTTGTTTATAAAGTTAGGGTTGCCACTCCACAGGGAAACCTGGAAAATGCAGGGAAACCTGGAAAATACAGGGAAATGAAAATCCTGGAAAATACAGGGAATTTAAAAATCACCTAAAAGAACAGGAATAATACGGGGAAATTTGAGTTTTTCCTTACAAACTCAGAAAGTACAGAGAATTTTATTTCTTATTTTTGTCTTTTAAAAGTGGTGTTCCTCTCTTTTGCGTTTTATTTCAGTTTTCTTTATGAATTTTTATGTACTATAACTAGTTTTGTTTTTTATCTCTTTGTTATTATTATTTTTTCAATTCCGATATCTTTTTTTTGTTAAGACATAGCATTCCCCCCCCCCCNTAAACTTAAAAATTGAGATTTTCAACTCTCAAGCATCTTGAGTTTGCCGATTCCCATGCATTCCATCGAATCAAGCGCTTACTCGTTTTATTTCTTGTTTAAATATCACTATCTTTAAATGAGTTTCAACTTTTGATGTTAATTTATTTGAATCATTTTGTTTGATTGATGTTGCGATATATGTTAGTATAACCCCATTATGTTTGATTCTCAATTCATTTTAATTTAATTATTTATTTAGCCTTATTTAACACATTGTTTCTCCCTTCTCATGGTTGCCACTCTACAGAGAGAACAGGGAATTCAAAAATTACCGAAAATTACAGGGAGTTTTGAGTTTTTTCCTTACAAACTGGGAAAATAAATTTAATTTTGTTTCTTATTTTCGTATTTTAAAAAGTGGTAACCACTCTAAGTGCAATCTATGGGATATTTAAGGATGATATTTCAGCTATATTAAATTATTTCATTTACTATAGCATTATTTGTTTCAAGTATGTTAAGCTGTTAAAAGTGAAATTAAAACTCATATAGCTAGATTAATATAGGTCACTCAAGAGCACAGTGATTGTGTCTTTCCTCTTAATATAGTGTGTATATATACAGGAAAAACATGGGAATTTTTTTTCCAGATTTGAGTGGCAACCTTAAAGTGTCTATGAATGTAGAAAATCTTTTTTTCTCTTCTTTTTTTACATGATGGTTAAACTTAGCACTTTATTTCAATCACCACCTGCTTGCACAGTGTTATTATTGAACCTAGAACTGATTTCAAAACTATTCATCTAAACAATTTCATATTTGGTCATTATCTCTGAGGTGCCCTAATGTAATGGTTCCCAGAAAGAGTTCTGTGGAACTCAAGGGTTTCATGAGAATGTCACAAGCGTTCCAAGTATTAAGTTTTTTTTTAACCTATAATGAGTTTTGGAACCTGCTGTTAATAATATTATAAAATTAATAATCGCTGAATTATTTAATGCATATTTCAACTATTTTTATGAAATTACTGGGTTAAAATGTGAAAAAAAAGTAGTAAGATTGTTTGTAAGGAAAAAACATCTTTTATAAAAAATTGTTTTATGTTTTTATATTTATATCTTAAATTGAAAAAAAAATTCAACATTAAAGAAAAGTGTTTCTCTAATTATTTTCAACATTTAAATTTTTTTGTATTTTTTTTTTACAAAATTTATAATTTAGGATATTTATTTTTAACTTATGCATACATTAAAAATACAAATTCAGAAATGAACTATGTCACACTAGACCTGTGAATTGAATTTTTGGCGTAAAAACTAAAACAATTATCAATAAAATTATTTAATTATTTGAAAATAATTAGCAATTTTTTATTGATTAATTTGTTGCTAATGAATGTTAAAGTACAGGCTTTGCAAGGAGATCATCCGCTGCCTTAGTGATAATGTTTTTTTTATAGTTTTAATAATATTCAGTTTTATAACCTTGATATTGCAAAAGAACATTTAAAATTTATTTTATCATCATAGCCGTATCTGGCTTTTCTGTGATTAAACTACAATTAACCAATAATCAATATTATTAACTATGTTTTTGTTTTCAAACAATTTAACTGTATTAAACTACTTTTTAAGATTTTTCAAATAGTTAATGATGAGTGATAATTATATATGGTGCTTTTAACTCTATGTTGACACACATAATGTGTTCTCAATACATTGTATTTAAATTTTCTTCAAACCAGATGTGTATCTGAAAATGTATATCATCATTGAAATACTTTTGAGTTTCTTTTGNGTAGATGTTCATAATTGCTTTTAAAGCTTCTTGTTTAAGACCAGTACGTATTGTGTTTTTTTGTAAGTTTATTGCTACAAAGCCCCTTTCAACCGCTGCAGTACTCCCAGACAGAGAAAACATCAATATATGCGCAGTATGTTGCTGTATTGTGGGTCATTTTGCTGCCTTGTAACTTACAAGACTCTTGTAAGATAACAAAAATTTAAAATGTATCACGAACATTAACGAGAAAATGGCCGTCCGCGCGGACGTCGGATTAGAGAAATTCGTTGTCCGCGGAGAATTTTTGACCGTCGAGGACGGGCTGTTTTTCGAGCCCTGTGTCAATGAATTTTAAAAATCTTTTTTACCGTCGTTTTTTACATGATGGTTAAACTTAGCACTTTATTTTAATCACCACCTGCTTGCACAGTGTTATTGTTGAACCTAGAACTGATTTCAAAACTATTTATCTAAACAATTTGATTTGTGGTCATTCTCTCTGATGTGCCCTTATGTAATGGTTCCCAAAAAGTATTCTGTAGAACTCAAGGGTTTCATGGAAATTTCACAAGTGTTCCAGGTATTAAGGTTTTTTTTAACCGATAGTGAGTTTTAAAATCTGCCGTTATAATATTTACCAACTAATAATCACTGGATTATTTAATGCATATTTCAACTATTTTTATGAAATTACTAGGTTAAAATGTCAGTGAAAAAGAAGTTGTAAGATTAAAAGGAAGAAAAAAAATCTTTTTAACAACTATATCTTGAACAAATTAGGAACAAAAGAAAATACTTTTATAAAAAATTGTTTTATGTTTTGACATTTAACTCTTAAGTTTAAAAAAATCAACAATAAAGAAAAAGTGTTTCTCTAAAAATTTTAAATGTTTATAACAATTTTTTTTTAAATTTTTACAAAATTTATAATTCAGGGTATTTGTTTTTAACTTATGCATACATTAAGAATACAAATTCAGAAATTAACTATGTCACTCTAGACTGTGAATTGAATTGTTTGACATAAAAACTAAAATAATTAGCAATTTTTTATTGATTAATTTGTTTCTAATGAATGTTAAAATAGGTGTTTTGCAAAGAGATCATCCGTTGCCCTAATGATATTATTTTTTATAGCTTTAATAATGTTCAGTTTTGTAACCTTGATATTGCAAAAGAAAGTTTAAAATTCATTTTACCAGCAAAGCCATATCTAGCTTTTCTGTGATTAAACTACAATTTACCAATCATCAATATTATTAACTATGTTTTTGTTTTCAAACAATTTAACTGTATTAAACTACTTTTTAAGATTTTTCAAATAGTTAATGATGAGTGATAATTATATATGGTGCTTTTAACTCTATGTTGACACACATAATGTGTTCTCAATACATTGTATTTAAATTTTCTTCAAACCAGATGTGTATCTGAAAATGTATATCATCATTGAAATACTTTTGAGTTTCTTTTGTAAATGTTTGAATTTTATTTTTTTAAATACATTTTTATTTTTATTAAAATAATAAAAAACATATGCCCGCATTTCTTTTTATATCCGTGCATATTCATGTGTGTTTTTCTTCTTTAAAAATTTTAAACAAATTTCCAACAGAAGTGTGCTTGAAAATGCATATTCCACATCATCAAAGTATTTTTGCTTTCTATTCTTTTTAAGTTCATTCAGTAAGTGTTTGAATTTTACTCTTCTAAATACATATTTCTTTTTTAAAAAAAAAATAGAAAACACGTGTCCAGAGGAAGGTATGACTTACGAGTGTACTTCAGCTTGTCCAAAGACATGTGACAACTACAAAAATTATCATCCGGACGATTGCGATCTACTTCCGTTATACACTTGCAAATGTCCAGAAGAACAAGTTTATCAGTTAGGAAAGTGTGTCGATTCCATCACCTGTGAAACCTGTGACACTTTCGGGCACGTCGTCGGAGACGTTTGGAGTTTAGGTCCATGTGAAATGTGCGAATGTATGGCAGACCTCACCACAAAGTGTACTGTTATTCAATGTCCTGAGCCCCCCATCTGTTCCGCAAAAGAGACACTAAACAAGGTGCAGCATAATGACACCACATGTTGTGACACATATCAATGTAGTAAGTGTTTCTATAATACTTTTCATCATTTTGTATTACTGTTTTTTAGAACCTCTAAGAATTGTATTAGTATTATGTAATAAGTACCTGATATTTATTGTAACTTTTTCAAAAATTTATTTAATGTCAGTGTATAAATACTTATTCCATAATCATCACCCTTAATATGATTAAATATTCTTAAATTGTCAAAAAATTAAAACTTGAAGACTCAAATGAAGGGTCTTGTAAACAAAATGCAAAAGAAACTGGATATCATTCTATATTGATAAGTAGGTTACTGTCGTTGTATCTGAAAGTGTTTGACAAACATGCTTCTCATTGCCATAGCTCAAAAACTATTAATTGAAACAATATAAAATGTTGCAAATTTTTTAGAAAAATGTTTAAAGACTGTTTGGTTATCAAAATGTTATTGGTGCAGTCATTGATTGTTGAGTTATTTTAAGAAAATTCCAAGTTTTTTTCTTCACTGCTTCTGTTTTAATTAGTTTAGTGAAAACTATTAACAAATGATTTTTTTCCCCAAGTACTCATTTGTTTAAAAAATTTCAACACGTCCCACACTATTTAAATTTTGAATTAGTTATGAAGTTATTAGTTTCTATTAGCAGTTTTTATGGATTTTTTGCTTTAAAGGAAAAATTATTCTTAGTAAAATTATTAAAATTCTAAGTAAAAAATATTTTTTAACCATGTACTTTTATGAGTGAAAGTATAAAAATCTTTGCCCTTTTGAAGAAATTAACATTAGTTTTTAAATTTTAAAATCTCAGAGTAAACTTGTAAGGTCAAAAATAATGCATATTTTTTTCCATCTTTTGGACACAACCTGATGTTCTCCTTCTATTAAAAAAATTATTTGGGATTATTTTTATCACTGGTCTTGATCTTAATATTTATGTAAATTAATGCCTTGAGTTCTTTATCTGCTAACTGCACGAGAGCTTCCTTTCCTCATCTGTAAAGTGTGTGTAATGTCAGACTATCCTTTGTTCCTCTATTTCAGTTTCTGTTTTGGTATTTTTGATTCGAATTTTAATTTTTTACTCTGAACTTATGCAATTTTTTAAATTCATTCTCTTTCTAGTTACATTAAATAATCACTAAAAAAATAGCAAAACAAATTAATGAAAAAGAAATCAAAATAACACCAAATTGGTTTATAAACCAATTTATTTTTAAGTATAATAATTTTCTTTTAATTTTTTTTATCTTTATATTATTCTTTTAAATTTTTTTTTATCGTTATAATTTTTTTAATCGTTTAACGGTATCCAGTGACTAAGTACTGACAGAAGTATCTCAAACGTGTACATACGTATATTAGTTATAAATAAACGCACACAAACATACATATACGTGTGATGTGCATGTATGTATATGTATGTGTATATATGAAGAAATTGCATTTTTTGTTACACGAAGGATCTTTGATATCCCACTGTAAGTGTTTGATATTAATAAACATAAGTAGAGCATTCCGGTTTATAATGCTTTCATTACTTTAAAGATAATTTTTACTTCTATATCCAAAAACCTGCTGGTCTAAAAGATTTTCACGTATCAAAATAGTAATGTCTGAATATTTCTCTGTTTTAAGTCGAAATAGCAGAACTCAAGTGTCCAGATATTCATCCCCTGGAGTGCAGAGAGGGAGAATCAAACATCGTGGAACATATAGATGGATGCCCTTCGTATCTATGCAGTAAGTAATCCTATATTCAGATCTCAAAATATCTTTCAAATATAATTTTGCTGTAAATAAACTGACTGCCCAGATTGTAATTAAGATACCCTCTATATTTCATCCTATTTTGACCTGGAATTTATTTTCCTTTTACAGGTCTATCACCAGTAAAAAACATTTTAAAATTTTCATCGCCCTGAATGCCCAGGGATCATAATTATTGAAATTTAATTTAACTTTTTTTATTAACAAGGTGGGAATAGTAACCACTTATTGATACCTGTAATTTCTTGTATTGGAACAGTACTATGAAAACTTTCAATACATTGATCTCAAACTATTCTGAATTGTACAGTGTTCCATTAATAAGATTATGGAAAACTGTTAAACACTCTGTTCTAAATAAAGTAACGCTGAGATAAATAAAAATATTTTTATTAATTTCAGCAATAATAATTACTTATTGTGATAATATTAACTTTTGCAATAAAATGTGCCTTTATTATACTTAAGTAGAGCAAGTTACACTTTTTTACCCTTTTAAAAAGTCTTTTATCGCAATTTTTTTTCAAGACTTACTAACTAGGAGATCTGAAATAGCTATACCCGTGATAACAATAATCTGTACATATTTGTCTGAAAAAAGGTATTTAAAGTACAAAAACAAAACATACAATAAACTTGTACTATTAATTTAAATGGTGTATCATCATCTGTGTGTCCTTTACAAATTTTATTTTTTGCTGTAAAAAATGTCATTTCATTCATTGAAAATAAAATTTAAAAAATGTATAAATAATAACTATCTAGTGATTAGAATTCAATAAGAAACATTAAATCAATATTTGAAAAAACTGTCAAATTTTAAAATTCTCTATGCAATTCCAAATTTTCAATATTTTGAACTAAGAAATCGAATGTGTGTGAACATATAATTTCCTTAACGTTCAAAATTGATAAAACTAAGTTTTCTCCTCTAAATATCAATCTAGTATAGTCATGGTGTGTAGCGTTTTAAAAAGTATTTAAAAGTGATTTTTTTATTTGATGTTTTTAAAAAGTGCTTAATTTTCCCTTTTCGAAAATGGGATTTTTTTTTTTACTATGTCGATTTTCGCTACGTATTATGCAAAAGCGTGCTTTTCACATTGTTCTATTCAACGTTTTCACAATTCATTCAATCACAATCTATTCCGGAGTACTTGCGGTCCATAGCGTATGAATATGCAAATCATTTTACTCAATGAAATACTTTCGACTCCCCATGCCTACGCCTACTGAGCTGTGAAAGCGTATGAAAGTTTGGTGAGATTATTGCAGTCTCATTTGCAACTCTGAGGCATTTTGCTATTCTCAATTTCAGGCTTCATTTACCACCGTCTGATAGAATGATAAATTTCTCTATCGTTTTATAATGGCTAATATAGATCAAGAAAAGAGTTCTTTGTCAGAAACTAGTTATTTTATCATGATCATGTAGAGTCTTTGAAAATTATTTTGCATTTTGTTAATGTTTATAGTGCTTAAAAATATTTTTTGAGTGCTTAAAAGGTGCTTATTTTTTATTGGAAGATTTGGCTACGCACCCTGATAGCTTTATTAAATATTTTAATTTTACTATTATACGATTTATTTTCATTAAATATTTTGATAGAATGCATGCCAGAGTTGTGTCCACCATTGCTTGGACCTTTGCTGGAAGAAGGTGAAGATCTCACCATCGAGACTGAGGACTGCTGCCCGCGTTATGTAACCAAATGTTATACAGAGCTCTGTCGTGCACCACCTGCCTGTGGACCTGGTTTCAAACTTTCCAAGTACCAGGGAAAATGCTGTGAAAAATACACCTGCGTCCCGAGAAACGATGTTTGTGTATATCAACACAAATACGATGTCATAAATGGTACACAGATTGAACTTCTCCCAGAACAGCTCTACGATATGGAATATCAGGTATTAAACACCTGTTCTATTTCAGATAAAGGCAGGGA